AAAGAGAGGGTACATGGGCTAATGGCAGCCAGTGATTATGAGGGCAGATGTGGTGATAAGGGGAGTAAGTGAATCAGTATCCTATAGTACTCCTGCTCCCTCAGCCACTTATGTGACTACCTTGTGAAATAGAATACTTGTGCACTTTGGAGCATGACCTCAAGTTAGATCACATTGGCAATGCCAGGGACATAGCTCCTACCATGTCTTTGCAGCACCAAGGGCCCTCAAAAGGCTAGCACAAAGCCCTTCAATCCATACCATGCTTGGCAAGGTATGCAAGGTAGACCCTATGGTTGTTTGTGTGGTAGGGAACGTAGTTGTGAAGAGCCTACTATTGGAAAATAAACATCTTTACGTAAAGCAAATTGTTCCATGACACAGCTACTTGCAGGCCTGTCATATTTTGTGATATTTTGTAATTTGTAACACCTTATTTGTAAGATATTGGTGGTTACATTGCAATCAAATTGTTCATTATTATAATTGCATAACGATTTTAATAACATCCATATCATCATTTAATAGCCATCCATAGTAGAAAGTGCATGATACTGATGTCAATACTTCTCAGAGGCAACATAGATGTCATACAACAAGGGCATATGTCCACATGTATTCTGGTGAGAGACTTTTAGGTGTACCAAACTGGGAGAGTGGAAAGACACTCTGCTTGGCACCTCACCAGACAGACAGGCAGGCAGACAGACAGACAGACAGACATACCCCCTGCTTCCAGACAGTGTTGGTGTTCAGTTCTGCCTTCTGACTCAATGGGAATGTCTGCTACCAGTCTGGAGCTGTCACTGTGTCATATCACAAGGAACTTATACCTTGTGTACACATGTCTAGGTGGACGATTTATGCTCTTATGATTTCAGGTCCGGCACAGTCAAGTCAAGCAGGATAGGAGGATAGGACGATATAAGAATGGGCATTGTTTTTGTGTTATAAAATAATATTAAGAGCACATAATAAATACTGCTGTAATATGGATTGAAAATATCAATTTGAATGTACAGTTTACTGAATGTACAGTTGAAAAGAAAGAAGTACAAGGATAGCAGTGTTTCTGTTGCGATACCTCTCAACAAAGGTATTTATGCGTAATTGTAGACCTGCATTTGATAAAGAGTTAGTTTTATTTGCAGGCAGTCATGTGGGGTCAGATACAGTTCCTCCTCCACCTCCAGCCCTGCTGTGTGTACATGTGTGTGTCTGTGCGTGTGTGTGTGTGTGATCCCTGCAGACTGGCAAGTCTCAGGCCTGCTGCTCAGCTCTGGCAGGGCCTGTGGAGGGGTCTTGTTTGAATCAAGCCCTGGTCAAGGACAGAGTGTCTGGAGCCGGCTTTGTTATGAGAGCTGCGGAGACGCCGTTATCAATCTGGCTCCATTAATTCAAATTCATTTTTGCACTCTAGGATAACTAGCAGCGTCTGCTTGTCTGTGCTCTCAAGACGATGTGCTGTGGTTCCAGATAAACAGTGAGCCTGTGAGCTTGGGAAGGACTCCTCCTCTGTTCTCATGAGGGGAAATGTATGAAATTCACTGCTGTGCTGCCTGCCTGCCAACACCCCACCAACCCCCCCACACCCCTGTCTGGTCTGGGAGGAAGGAAGGAGTGTCAGGAAAGGAGTGTGCAAAGAATCCTCCCACTTCTACAATGTGTCCAGATTTAGTCTAAACTACAGTACATGGTCTGATTCTGACCTGTATACTGTGTTGGTGTACATTTCATGCTCTTTCAATTACCTATTAATGTACATGAAGCCAGATAATGTATTGAAAATGAAACAAAATGTGTTTTCTTGTTGAATTCATGAATGTGTATACCAATGGGGTCCTGTGTGGCTCAGTTGGTAGAGCATGGTGCTTGCAACGCCAGGGTTGTGGGTTCGATTCCTACGGGGGACAAGTACGAAAAATGTATGCACTCACTACTGTAAGAGTGTCTGCTAAAATGGAAAATGATATCCGTTTGCCTATAGAATGTGGTTGATTAAATAATTTATCAGCCCTTTAGGAAAATAATACTAAAATATTTTTTTGTAGTCTCCTTGTTTCTCATAAAATAGTCAGTGTGTTATCTTCTCGCTGAAGTTGCCTTCTCTGCTTGACATTTTATGATTGATAGGAGAGTTTTGGCTCAAACGCTGAGCTTTTCCCTGCAGAAAGAAGTATGTAGCAGAGCCGAACTGGCCTGTGCATGTGTGGTCCGTATCTAACAATGCATTTCTGGGCACTTTTAGGCTGTGACCCATTATAGGTCCTAGCTAAATGCCTTACTGGGTTTTATGAAAAGAGATCTAGCACTCTTGGATGTTTTTAGTCTCCTGTGTTCAAGGACATGTTTCTGCTGTCCTTTAATTTAATAAGACAAAAGAAACGCTTGAACCTTTCCAACAAAACCACAACTAGTATCATCATTATCAAATTCCCCTTTTACCTCATAAACGTTTTAAAAGTTTAAGCTTATCAGCAGGAGCATTTGGCTGAATAGTTAAGGGAGCTAGTATAATTGTTTAGCAAAGAAGGAATTAAAATGGAGGTTTTGTCAGGGCCGAATCCTCTTTTCCCATCGACGACATCGTTGAATACCTCTTTATTTAATGTGTAACCAGGGTTGGGTAGTAACGGATTACATATAGCGGGGATTACGTGATCCGATTACAAATATGAAGTAACTGGATTACAGTTACATTCTTAAATACAGCTGATCACATTTGGGATTACTTCTTGTAATATTAAGTGGAAACATTTATAAAACTTTGTCAGCATTGTTGTCACACAGTGTAACTCATCTTTATCAGACCATTGAGAGTGACTTTCATTATTACATCATTAACTTTAATGCATACTGTAGCAGCCTGCTCTTATTTCATAAAGACTTCTTTGTTCATCCTTACAGTAAAACAGATGTGGATAATGAATTGTGGCAATTGTAGCTGTGGGAACAACTTGGTGCAGATCTATTTTGAACCCCCCAATTCACAGTCTGCCAACCACCTCCTCTCCCCCAATCCTCTCTATCTGCCTACTGAGATTTGTTGGATTCTTCCACAAGGCTGTTTCATGCACATCTTTTCCTTGCTGTATTGTCGTATAGATATTAAATCAGCCATGCACTATTATCCATTCCCTATATCTGCACTTAATTTACAAGCTTTTTACGATACGAAATTAGGATAAATTAAATATGGAAATGTATGTCAAATGTGATTTGATAGATCATATTGTGGACGTATTTGCAAATTACATTATTCTAAAGTTGACAACATTTCTACACTTTACCATTTGTAGTACAATGGTATCATTGGATATACAAACATGATCGTATATATTGTTCTGGTAAAGAAAAGATATGTGTCAATGCTATTAAAGGACTGGCCATTGATTACCGTCAAAATTTTCCTTTTCATCAAAAAATAATAAACCTCATGTTGCATTTGTACCAATGGAAATACAGTCTCTGAGCTGCTAGAAATGGGCAACTACATTACTATAGTTAATACTATAGATAATACACCTATTAACTTTTGTGTACCATTTTTAATCTTGATATAAAGTAATTTTAGCTTTCTGTCTTTCTCTGACCTTCTGCATTAGAACTGTAGTCCTCCCTGGAACTATTTTGATCAAGACTTGTTTGTGGTTTGATAAAGTGGCTTTCTTTAAGATACATTTTTTATTATTTTTTTCCAAGGACAAAGGAGGAGTTTATTGTTCAGAGATTACTTCTCTGTCTCACACATTCAGTGTGCACGACCTCACTGTAGAGGTACAACGTGCATTCTATAGCATACAGTAGAATCCCTGAGTAGAAAGCCTTCTGAATATCTAGATATTAACAGTGTGATATTACGTGTTTGGTTTTTCAAAAATAATTAATAGAATACCAGTATTTACAATTAAGATATATGGATATATTTCACCTTAGTTGTTGTGTACTGAAGAAAGAAGCATGAATTTCCGTACGAGAAGAGTCACCTTGCCTGCCATTACTCCACTTTGTCATCAGAAGCGGGTAGGAAACGTGCCTGTACCTTCCTCTCTTTGCGACCCTGTGCATGACTTCTGCTTTCTTTAACTATCCTAATTGTGTCAGTGTTACATAGTAACAATTGGATTAAACTAAACTGCTCAGAAACATAGAAGTGAAAAACTATGTGTGGGAAATCTGTTTATTCATCGACGTTTCTGAACCAGTTTGACTTGGAGAAAAAAACGTACTTCAAATCCAGAGATAAAGTAGTTTCGATTGATCCTTTGGAAGTGCTTCAGTTTTTATATCACTTTCCTATCAGTCATCACATTTTCTTTACATTAAATTCATGTATTTGTCTGCAGTATATATTCCCCTTTACTGCTGAAGTACAGTATATGGCAGTCATTGGAGGGCCCATGCTTCTTCTGAGGTTAGCTAGCCTCCTCTGTTGTGGGTTTTGTGTGTGACTAGCTGGCCTACATTTTGCACCAGAAGCTTCCATAGAACTAGCATGTGTATAGTAGCAGCAAAATAATGTGATGAAATGTTGCAGTCAGAGCACTTATTCCAAAACAATGGTTGACAATAAAACACAATTGTGTCCACGTATTTCAAAAGACACTGTGAACTCAGACTAAGACATTGTGATGATATCACTCTAACGATGAATGAACTGAGAAGTGATTTGGAATGCAAAACATCTGACAGCTTGAGATATGTGTCTATAATTGTCTATAAACCTGTGTGACAAAAATGACACTAGAGTGAGCCATTTCAAGGTTCTATGTGAGCCTGTTGCCTGTTGAACCACTCTTGAGGAGCACCACTGTTAAATGTGTAAAAGGTTTGACCTAGCGTTATTTATGCTCTTTCAACATTTTCTTGGTTTGGTGTCCTCTGAGTACCTGAAGATTTATTTTTAAAATAAGTTTAGCATTAATCAGACCCATGAAATGAAATGTTTGACATTACGTGGCAGAAACGTAGAATATACAGCTGCACAATGTTGAACTAAAATGCCTCAAAGTAAGAGCAGTAGGGAAAATAGACTGCATAGGTCCAGGTGTAGCAGCTAGACCTGCTATGTCCAGACAGGCAGGGAGTTGAAGCGTGTGGAGGCGTAGCCTGGCTAACTGAGCTCATCCAGGGCTTTGCCATAGTGAAGGGCACTGTGGATGTACAGTGGATACACACTGAATCGAGCCCAGGGCTGAGGCCACTGCTGTGGCACTCACAGATAGCGCTGCAGCTGTGGGAGTGGAGTTCAAGGTAAAACCAGTACACAATAATTGGTAAACCGGTGTCCGCAATCCTGTCCTTGAGATAAAGAGGACTTCTAGAACCGTCTATGCTTTGCTTAACAACGCTATATTTAGGCCATTGCAAATGTCTGGATTTTCACTCCCTTTCCTTTCTCAATAGAAGACATTGAGACTCAGCACATCATGTTCCTTTCCTCCCGGAGTTCTGTACATTTTGTATGTCCAACAACGTGGCCGTTTGGGTTGCAGTTAGTACTGGTTCATAGCTCGTAGCACTGCTTAGCTCTGTCATCACCATTATCGTTATCACTGTTGCCCAACTCCTATCTTATTACCCTCAGCCCTTTTCCCTGTCAGCCACTGCACAGGGTATGTCATTGTTTTAAGTTTCCTCATTTCCAGAACGGCTGTGATTATCTGAAGTTAATCATGGGCACACTTCACATTTACTTTGGACCGAAATGCACTTTGGTATTTAGTTGCATACTTCCAGAATCACTGTGATTGCACTCGGCACTGCTTTTCACTTGAACTGAGGCATTAAGCAGTCCTTATATATTCAATCCTCTTTGTAATATTTAGGTGTTATCTTTGGATATAATGAAGAGAATATGAAGGACTTAAGTTGTCATAAACTCGGGTAGAAAATAGGAGACTTTATCAATCTTTCTAGGGAAGGTTTTGTAAAGCAACCGCAATGACTACCGGTATATTAGTAGTATGACACTTTAGAAAAGTGAGTTTGGCAGTCGGAGTTGGAGTTGTGGTCTGTTGAAATAAAAACAAGTGTAGGTCTGCACATGGAGCAGCATGGCTACCTGATGAATGCACCTCTTTGTGCTCATTGACACAGAAAGCAGCCGTTCACAGCAGCATTTTATCTGGCCTCGCCATTCATTTGACTCCCTGGACCAAGTGATTTATCATGGATACTGTAGCCAGTCATTTCAACCCTAGTTGAAACATCCAACATGCTATGAACAATGATCAAACCCATATAGGATCAGCCTTAGACTAGTGTCGGCTCAGACTGTTGAAGGATTCATTAGATTGAACTATGCACTTTGTTTTTGCTGTTAGTGAGTTGTGAACTTTTGCTGTCTGTAATCTTGTATCTCCAATTAAGAGAGTAGTTCACCAAAGGACACCAAATGAGGACAGAACCAAAGGATTTGATTGTTGCTGTGTGTTGAATGCCTTTTTAAGTACCTCATCAAATATTTGTCCAAAGCTCTCTAAAGGGTGGTAGACATTGAAATTCATAAAGAGATATGCAGTCTATATCGAGTTCTGCAGATCACCCCAAGTATAGGGACATACAGGCCGTATTGTTTCTCTTGTTAGATATACAGAGACAGAGTGCTACATGCAGTATGCATAACACTACAGTAATTTATAATGCACGTGTAGCATTGTAATAAAACAATAACTTTAAATGAATACAAATGTTCTGTCAGCGCAGTTCATCTGTATTAAAATATCCTCTTGGCACAAAAATGTTAAACCTTGTGTAAAAGCATTCGTTCCAGTGTATTTGTGTTGAGGATAGGGCTGGCACATTTACCGTAAAACCGTGTAACCGACGGTTATGGATGAAGACCGTCATGAAAGTAAAATAACTGCAATAACCTTAAAAAAATAGAAAAAAAAATCCTGCCATTCATGCGGTTAAGTCAGTTTCTGCAGTATCATGGACTCTTAACAACGTGATGAAACTTTGTTGCTCCTTGCTGAAACAAGCAAGGTGCTGTAGAAAATGAGTCTTCGGTTTCTTAGGCAACGCCCCCCTCCCTACATCAGTGTTATTCATTCTATTTCTATGGCAGCACATGCAGTCAGGAGCAGAGGAGAGGATATTTATTTTATTATTATTATTTAATTTTGATATTCGAATGGTTATAACGGTGACCACGGTCATTTGGCTGACCAATAACCGTCATCCAAAATTGCATGACCATCACAGCCCTAGTTGACGAACTAACGTCAACCTGTCGTCTTCAGGAGAAATGCACTAAAAGCTTCTTCACCCCCTGACAAACCCTTCCCTGTTACTCATGAAACACGATCCTTTGGAGATTTGATTTGGCAAATTCTCAGGAAGTGACTTCCACAGAGGGACACAACTGGAATCCTGCCTAGATGCTATTTCCACAGCCTGATTTAGAGGCTCCTTCACACTATTTTCATCTCTTTTTCCTGTTGTCATTTCTACCAATGGAAATGCATTTCAAGCATTGTAATGTTCTATACAGTACAGTAAGTGCACTGGGCTTTTAGATTATTACCGTCCTCAGCTTTCTACTCCAATGTGAGTGACCTAAGCGTTGCAATGTACAAGATGGGAGATAACCTCCCAGGCTCTGTTGTAGCCGGCCACGACCGGGAGACCCATGGGGCGGCGCACAATTGGCCCAGCATCGTCCAGGATAGGGGAGGGAATGGCCGGCAGGGATGTAGCTCAGTTGGTAGAGCATGGCGCCAGGGTTGTGGGTTCGTTTCCCACGGGGGGCCAGTATGAAAAAGAAAAAAAAGAATGTATGCACTCACTAACTGTAAGTTGCTCTGGATAAGAGTGTCTGCTAAATGACTAAAAATCAAAAAATGATTACAGTGTCTCATTAGCTTGTCTGTCTACTGTACAGACAACCCACCAATGGGACATTGGCTGTTAAAGTAATCCTAGTAATGCAGTCCTTTTTACTTTTGTTAGGTACCTACAAAGGGAAATCCTTTTTTTTTTGGCTTGTAAATCTCGGCACTGACTGATTAAACACTAGATCGTCTACTTCATTGTGGGGTGATGTCATAGCTGGAGGTTGTGATTCGCTGCAGACTCCTTAAGGGCACTAACCCCAGCCCTGCTGGAGCACTGTGACCTCCTTTCTCCACAAAAGAGGGCTGGCGCGTCCTGCCCCACCGATCCGCCTTAAACCAAGACCCAAGCACACAGAGGCAGCCAGCTGATCTTTACTGTGCCTCTCTCCCTCCCCCTCTCCCCACCCACCCCTGTCAACTTTAGACAGAGTTGACCCAACTAGCATTACATTTAACTAGCACCTTTGTAATTGCTTTTGAGCTCATGCAGGGCATTATGCTAAGAACTCGTCTTGCCATGGCTGTGTGAATAGGGAGGGGGAGCGAGCCTTGTGACTCTTTTCTCCTCCTCCTCCTCCTCTTCCTCCTCCTCCTCCTGGGGTTTGTGGAACAGAGCAGGCTGATCCTGGGCTCTTTTACTTGAGGAAAAGGTGGCAGGTGATTGGGCCAGAGCCTACGTGACATATATCTGTGGAGTCAGAGAAACGCTGTGATCAGAGGCAGCTCTTTCTAATTAGATCATTTCAGCTCCACTGCAGTAAAGAGAGCGAAGGGCTCTACTTTTCACTCGCTGTTCTGCTCTGCTTTTTTTGTTCTGCTCAGCCCTGCGCTGTCTGCCTGTCTGGTGCATGTTTCCATGTTCCTCACTAAAAGCCTGGTTTACAATGCTGTGCACTCAGCCATACATAGGCTGCAGAGTTAGCTCAAATTCACAAGTTTGCTTGTCTCCCAACAGAGTGGTAAGTTGTGATGTTAGATGCATTTGTTAGTAGCTTATTTGGTGTTTTGTGTTAATATTGCATGACTGTTGAGTTTCTCTGTGATCTTTTTAATGCAGAACTGTTACATACCTGCTGTGAATGAAAAAAAGAAAAGATAATTGGAGCAATATGCTACACAGTACTTTGTTAGGGACACAGTGACACACTTTTGGGCGAATTTGGTGCTGTTGTGTGTGGGTTGAATGATTATGGGGTAGAATTATCTTAGGCTTTGTTGAAGATATGATTTGACATACCTAATGCTTGGAAAACATTTTAAAATCCCATGTGTTTGAAATTACGCCTCCCTACCCCCATTTCTTGCCTTGTTGGTTATTTGTAATGTTTGATGTACATTTGATATGTGTAAATGTGATGTATGTATGTATATATTTCATGTATATATTTTATATCATACAGATGTTGTTAATGTCAATGTGTTTGTTTCGCTGCAGGTAATCAAAGTGTATAATGAGGACAAAACCAGTCGAGCAGTAGAGGTTCCCACTGACATCACAGCCCGGGACATCTGCCAGTTGTTTGTCATGAAGAATCATTGCATTGACGACCACAGCTGGACTCTGTTTGAGCATCTCTCTCATCTAGGCATAGGTAAGATTTCAATTCAATACAACTTTATTTATCCAATCAGAGGCAATTAAGAAAGTCAAGTCAAATCGACACAAAATCCTCCACATAAAAAATACTGTATACCTAATGTAACATTAGATTACTGTGTGATTACAGTGCCTTGCAAAAGTATTCAGACCCGTTGGATTTCTTCACATTTGATTGTGTTACAAAGTGGGATTCAAATGGATGTAAATCTGCTGGAAAATATATGCCTGTCTAGCCATAATCCCCAAAAGAATAATGAATAATGGGCAAATATTGCACAATCCAGGTGTGCAAAGCTCTTATAGACTTAACCAAGAAGACTCACAGCTGTAATCGATGCCAAAGGTGTTTCTAACATATATTGACTCATGGAGCTGTATACTTATGCCATGACTATATTTTAGTTATTTAATTTCTAATAATAAAAATAAATAAAACAATGCTTCTTCTACTTCGATATTGCAGAGTATTGTGTGTAGATTGTTGACAAGAAAATGACAGTTAAATACATTTTATTCCCACTTTGTAACACAATAAAATGTGAAGAAATCCAAGGGGTCTGAATACTTTTGCAAGGCACTGTATGTTGACGAGAAGGTGCACAAGATCCAATTTAGTGAGAGCATAACCCTGCTTATAAAGTTTTTAAAAACTCTTTATGTGGCACACTGCAGTGTGATTCTGCTCTTTGATACCACAAGTTGGTCAGCAAAGACTGAATTGTACAGCAAAAGTGACTATTGTCTTCTACTGGTGCGTCCTAACCATTTCTCAGCAGCATTCTTCGCACATAGATTGCATAACTTACCCATCTGTTCTGTTCATTATTTCATTGTCTTTAAGCATTGATTTAGCTGGAAATGTGCTGTTCTCATTCAACCAGTTTAGTAAAGTGTGTCTTAAAGTTTGCAGTGTTCCTCTGAGTCTCTTCTCTTCTGCATATACAACAATATGTACAATATTGTATGCAGAAATATGTACTATGTACACGAGAATAGCACTTAAAAGTATGAATTAAAACAACTTTCCAAAGTGGTCCTCAAATTGGCATGACTATAATCTGTTAAATAAATAAAAAAATACATTGAGGTAAATGATAATTGAGAAATGAATAATTCCACTACCCAGTATACACTACTGGTCAAAAGTTTTAGAACACCTACTCATTCAAGGGTTTTTCTTTATTTTTACTATTTTCTACATTGTAGAATAATAGTGAAGACATCAAAACTATGAAATAACACATATGGAATCATGTAGTAACCAAAAAAGTGTTAAACAAATCAAAATATATTTGAGATTCTTTAAATAGCCACCCTTTGCCTTGATGACAGCTTTGCACAATCTTGGCATTCTCTCAACCAGCTTCACCTGGAATGCTTTTCCAACAGTCTTGAAGGAGTTCCCACATATGCTGAGCACTTGTTGGCTGCTTTTCCTTTACTCTGCGGTCCGACTCATCCCAAACTATCTCAGTTTGGTTGAGGTCAGGGGATTGTGGAGGCCAGGTCATCTGATGCAGCACTCCATCACTCTCCTTCTTGGTCAAATAGCCCTTACACAGTCTGGAGGTGTATGGTGTCATTGTCCTGTTGAAAAACAAATGATAGTCCCACTAAGCCCAAACCAGATGGGATGGCGTATCGCTGCAGAATGCTGTGGTAGCCATGCTGGTTAAGTGTGCCTTGAATTCTAAATAAATCACAGACAGTGTCACCAGCAAAGCACCCCCACACCATCACACCTCCTCCTCCATGCTTTACGGTGGGAACTACACAAATGGAGATCATCCGTTCACCAACACCGCGTCTCACTTTAGACACGGCGGTTGGAACCAAAAATCTCAAATTTGGACTCCAGACCAAAGGACAAATTTCCACCGGTCTAATGTCAATTGCTTGTGTTTCTTGGCCCAAGCAAGTCTCTTCTTATTATTGATGTCCTTTAGTAGTGGTTTCTTTGCAGCAATTTGACCATGAAGGCCTGATTCACACAGTCTCCTCTTAACAGTTGATGTTGAGATGTGTCTGTTACTTGAACTCTGTGAAGCATTTATTTGGGCTTCATGGTCTTATCCTCTGCAGCAGAGGTAACTCTGGGTCTTCCATTCCTCTGGCGGTCCTCATGAGAGCCAGTTTGATCATAGTGCTTGATCGGTTTTGCGACTGCACTTAAATAAACTTTCAAAGTTCTTGAAATATTCCAAATTGACTGACCTTCATGTCTTAAAGTAATGATGGACTGTGGTTTCTCTTTGCTTATTTGAGCTGTTCTTGCCATAATATGGACTTGGTCTTTTACCAAATAGGGCTATCTTCTGTATACCTTAATACAACACAACTGATTGTCTCAAACGCATTAAGAAGGAAAGAAATTCCACAAATGAACTTTTAAGAAGGCACACCTGTTAATTGAAATGTATTCCAGGTGACTACCTCATGAAGCTGGTTGAGAGAATGCCAAGAGTGTGCAAAGCTGTCATCAAGGCAAAGCGTGGCTATTTGAAGAATCTCAAATATAAAATATACTTTTTTGGTTACTACATGATTCCATATGTGTTATTTCATAGTTTTTATGTCTTCACTATTATTCTACAATGTAAAAAATAGTAAAAATAAAGAAAAACCCTTGAATGAGTAGGTGTGTCCAAACTGTTGACTGGTAGTGTATGTAAATGTGATATTTATCTGTTTTTTTAAAACCTGTTTTTGCTTTGTCATTATGGGGTATTGGGTGTAGATTGATGAGGAAAAAAACGGTTTAATCCATTTTAGAATAAGGCTGTAACGTCACAAAATGTGGAAAAGGTCAGGGGGTCTGAATACTTTCCGAATGCACTGTATCTGTTGGCATTATAAAGAGACCATAAAAGTCAAACTATAAAGAATTTGGTTGGTGGATTCCTGGATGTCCTGCTTATTCACTCCTGGGAACCAGTATTCTGCAAGCCTCAGCATCTGTTTTGCCATGTTATCATACTGACACAAAATACAGTTTTTCCAGTTCCTCTATGCAGATACATTTTAGTCATTTAGCAGACGCTCTTATCCAGAGCGACTTACAGTAAGTAGTGAGTGCATAAATTGTCATACTTTATTGTCTCCATACTGGTCACCCGTGGGAATCGAACCAACAACCCTGGCGTTGCAAGCACCATGCTCTACCAACGGAGATACACGGGACTTGTACAGAGTGTGTCTCAAATTGCACCATATTCTCTTTATAGTGCACTACTTTTGACTAAGGCCCATAGGGCTCTGGTCAAAGGTAGTGTACTATATAGGGCAGTCATACTCAAATGGCGGACCACGGTCCGTGTCCGGACCCAGCAAAGGGTCAATATGACACAAAACACAGTCATTTTGAGCAAACGTATCCCCAAAACATAGAGGTGAGAACGAGAAAAATATATCAGCTCAAAGCTCAATATGCGAGGTGACAGCCCAAGAAAGTGCAATGGAGCACTCACTGAGAATAGCTTGGCTTTTGGGAAAACGTAAAAAGTCATTTACTGACGCAGAGATGGTTAAAGAATGCATGAGTGAAGTTGCTGAGACCATGCTTGATGGTAAACAAAAAGATGAGCTGAAAGAAAAGATCAAACAAAGAATTGCACTCACACCATTTGTGCCAAAGTTCAAAGTATTGGCAGGAGATAAAAAGTGTAATTTCTCTCATTAGTCATTGATGCAAGGCTCAGAGTGACTTGTGCATGCATGGAACACAGTCTGTGATGCAAGGCTCAGAGTGACTTGTGCATGCATGGAACACAGTCTGTGATGCAAGGCTCAGAGTGACTTGTGCATGCATGGAACACAGTCTGTGATGCAAGGCTCAGAGTGACTTGTGCATGCATGGAACACAGTCTGTGATGCAAGGCTCAGAGTGACTTGTGCATGCATGGAACACAGTCTGTGATGCAAGGCCCGGAGTGACTTGTGCATGCATGGAACACAGTCTGTGATGCAAAGCCCGAGTGACTTGTGCATGCATGGAACACAGTCTGTGATGCAAGGCCCGGAGTGACTTGTGCATGCATGGAACACAGTCTGTGATGCAAAGCCCCGAGTGACTTGTGCATGCATGGAACACAGTCTGTGATGCAAGGCCCGGAGTGACTTGTGCATGCATGGAACACAGTCTGTGATGCAAGGCCCGGAGTGACTTGTGCATGCATGGAACACAGTCTGTGATGCAAGGCCCAGAGTGACTTGTGCATCCATGGAACACAGTCTGTGTGTGATGCAAGGCCCAGAGTGACTTGTGCATGCATGGAACACAGTCTGTGTGTGATGCAAGGCTCAGAGTGACTTGTGCATGCATGGAACACAGTCTGTGATGCAAGGCCCAGAGTGACTTGTGCATGCATGGAACACAGTCTGTGTGTGATGCAAGGCCCAGAGTGACTTGTGCATGCATGGAACACAGTCTGTGTGTGATGCAAGGCCCAGAGTGACTTGTGCATGCATGGAACACAGTCTGTGTGTGATGCAAGGCCCAGAGTGACTTGTGCATGCGTGGAACACAGTCTGTGATGCAAGGCCCAGAGCGACTTGTGCATGCATGGAACACGGGGGGCCAGTACGAAAAATGTATGCACTCACTAATTGTAAGTCGCTCTGGATAAGAGCGTCTGCTAAATGACTAAAATGTCAATTGGATCACTAAACACAGTCTGTGATGCACGGCCCAGAGTGGCTTGTGAATGCATGGAACACAGTCTGTGCACTCTGATTTTCTTTTCTATTGGACTCTCCTTTGTTCTCCATAAAATGTGCACTTTAGTTTATTATTATTGTTTATTCAATTAAGAGAAATGCAAGGCCCATGTACATTGGCTAAGTGACTTCTTTTGCATACAGATTACTATGCAACCACTTTTGTTCTTCAGCAATGTTGTCACTTTATTATATTTTTGTAAAAAGAGAAACCATTCATTTTTTAAATACTTTTTGTTGTACTCATTTCTTAAATTTCTTTGAAGCAGCATGACAAATAGTAATAGCCTACTTACTACTACAGTACAGCCTGTACAATGCACATTTTCATAGTCAAAATAAAGAAGTTGTTTGTAATTCATTCAAATGTATCTGATTGGTCTTTTAATGTATTTAATAGTAGTCCTGAAAACATTTGATATAAAACCATGTATCCCAAATCATAATATGGACAATGATAAGTTTGTCACTATGCTGTACTAGAGCACCGATAAATGACAATATCAATTCTATCAGGACTTTTCCCACTTAGGAATTTTGTGTGACTGGACCTTCTCAAATTGTATTTGAATACCCCTGATATAGGGAATAGGGTACCATTTAGGACACCCACACACATTAGTTCCTCTTAACCTTTAGAGCCCTTAGAACCTCCTATAACAATATCTGGCCTGATTCACTCATAATCTTGGTCAAGCCAAATAAAGCTTGTGCTCCTCTTGTACAATTAGTTGAAGTACATCTGCTTTCACTGAGTTTATAATGAAGTGCTGCTCAAATTAGATGTAACAGTTTTTGCATTATTCATTCTCATTCTGAAAACCCTCTCAGCACTTAATGCAGAGCTGCTTTTCAGACATGAAATGGGATTCCTGATTCATCTATTTGTAAAAACAGGCCACTAAAGATACTAGATAGACATTGCTGGGCAATTCCACGCTAACAGAATGATGCTGAGACTTAAAATGTATGCCAAACAAAAAAACAATGATTGCAAAGTTAAACCATACAACTCTATGCACAAGGACGACTTTAAACAATTTCCTCCGAAAATTGTACAAAATCCTATTTACTTGAACAGTGCAGATGTCAAGTTTTGAAACGGTACAAACAGTACAAACAGTCCTGACCAGAATGACCAGCAGCCCACCGCCTTGCCTTGACTGTGGTCATACAATGGGAATCACTTGGCCTCAAATGGCTGTGCAGTGTTCCAGAGTCCAGACGACTGCCTCCAAACGACTGCTTTCCATTGGAACAGTTAATATTCATTTGAGGTTCAAGGAATTGAGTAATGTTCAATAATATATTGAAATAATAATAATACCCACAGAGCCAGGACTCGTACTGTAATTCCCACCTTAAGCTATGTATTAATATATCTCTAAATAAAGGGTTAATCATCAATCTGCAGGGCTTTAGAGGTAGCAAAGCACATGCCCTGCTCTTGACACAGGCCTTATTGTACTGTATGTGGGCCCTGGGCACTAAACAATTTATATTACTGTTATGGTTCTGAACAGCTATAACCACTGTAATATGTACTGTATGATCACGATTATATGTTTGAACTTCTGATAACTTTATTCTAAACCTTGATGTTTGACTATATGGTATTGTGACAAGGAACATGGTTGGATACTGTAGATTTGACTAACTTTACCTTTCTCACTTTCCTCTCCCTCCCTTTTACTTTTTGAGGTCTCTACGTTTACATTTCTTTCTCCTGTATCCACCAGAAAGAACCATAGAAGACCATGAATCTGTTATGGAGGTGCTGTCCGGCTGGGGCATTGACACAGACAGCCGGCTATATTTCCGGAAAAACTATGCCAAATATGAATTCTTCAATAAACCGCTGGTAAGACGAGGGTGTGATTAGCAAAAACGATTGTGAACTAATTTATACGTTAAACCGCCTGTTTTCTAAATGCACTCAGCTTGACCAGTAATGGACAGCTGATGTGAAGAGCCTGTGTGTTATGACTGATGTTGTTTTCATATTGATAGGATTTTTTCCCAGATCACATGGTGTCCTTATCAAGTGAAACCAACGGGAATATGAACCATTCTCAGCTAATACAGGTATCTATTAAGCTACATTCTACATGTCTTCACTTTAAAATTACAGAGTTAGGGCCAGTTTCCTGGACACAGATTAAGCAAAGGGTTACAAAGCACTTTCAAAGGAGATTCTCCATCCAGATTCTCTAATCTCCAAGACCAGGCTTAATCTGTGTCCGGGAAACCGCCCCCCACTCAGTGTTGCTGCTACAGGATTTAAGGAATATTTTCTGTCTGACAGACATTTCTCAACTCAAGCACTTGTCCAGAGATCCATGGGCACCTTCATGCCAAAGAACAAGGCAGGAAGTCTTGGAAGAAGTTCTACTTTGTCTTGAGGAGGTCAGGTCTCTACTTCTCAAACAAGGGGACATCAAAGGTCAGTAAATATCATTGATATACAAGTGTGTAGTCTAGAAATGTTTCAATATTAAAGTAACTGTCACGTGTTCCAGATTTCAATGAAACATGGCGTTTAATGAATTGCAATATGAATTACAAAGATTTCCTTCAAAATATTATTATGAATGTTAAAAAGCAGTCTTTTTGCAAAAAGCAAGGTGATTTAAGGAGAGAATTGAACTTGTTTTACCTACTGCTTTATGGGTTCATTTGAGAAGTCTGTGTCAATTTGCCAGCGGGGTGTGGTGTACAGTAGGGGTGTAGCTAGCTCTATTGTCCCCTGGCTGCTCTGTGGAACTGGTTGAGCTAGCTTTCCCTCAGGTCGGATGGCATGCCACTGCCAGAGACTGAGCCCTCAACACCCACCGCTGACAGGTGAAGCTTAGACCTGCACAGCACTGTGCCAAGCCAACTACTTCCCCCTCTCCCAACTACAGAATAGCTGTTCTTTAGACTAGAGTACAAAAGTTAGATTTTACTTAATTCCTTTAGTTTTATATGATGTGATTTATGATCATGAGTACATTGGTTTTGGCTACAATGTTGGTTTGTGTCATACATATTGCCAGTCAACACAGACAACGATACCTACAGTCAGGTCCATAATTATTATACCCTTGATAAAGATGTGCAAAGAATACTGTATAAAATAAATAATACAAATATTGAGCTATATTGTATGCATTTGTTGTTGTTGAAATTTTGTTTAACAAGTAATTTAAAAAAAAATCTAAAAATATATACGAGTCCAAATGATTGGCACCCCTGTTTTCAATACTCCAGCACCCTCCCCTTTCGAGGATAACGACACAGAGCCTTTTTCTAAAATGTTTAATGAGATTGGAGAACATGTTGGGAGGGATCTTAGACCATTGCTCCATACAAAATATTTCCAGATCCTTGATATCTTTCGTCTGCTCTTATGGACTGCCCTCTTCAATTCAAACCACAGGTTTGATTAGTGCTTGGGGTTATTGTCTTGCTGGAAGATCCACTTGCGGCCAAGTGTCAGCCTCCTGACAGAGGCAACCAGGTTTTTGGCAAAAATGTCCTGGTACTTGGTAAAGTTAATGATGCCGTTGACCTTAACAAGGGCCCCAGGACCAGTGGAAGCTAAATAGCCCCATAACATCAAAGATCCACCACCATATTTTACCGTAGGTATGAGGTACTTTTCTGCATATGCTTCTGTTTTTCAATGCCAAACCCACCACTGGTGTGTGTGGCCAAAGAGCTCAATTTTCATGTCATCTGACCATAGCACCGGTTCCAATCCAAGTGCCAATACCGTTTATCTATGGTCAGATGACATGAAAATACAGATGTAGGATCTTCATTTGATCACCCTGTTGCAAGAGAACTTTCATGCAATGCAGGACATTTTTTACTTGTAGGTTTAAAACGGCTTCTGAAGTTGATTTTCCCTTACAAAAAATGTATCAACGACTACAAAAATTTCCATTAATTATAATCCACAAAATAATTCACATTTCCTGTTGCTGCAGGATTCTTATCTTGCTGTAGCAAACTGGCTCAAATTAAGGTCCTACATCTGTAGAGCTCTTTGGCCACGCCAGAGAGGAAGAGGCGAAGCGAGAGGTTTCACTCTGGCTAAAATCTGTGCAAAATATGCATTTCTATGGGCTTATTTTGGACCTAAGCTCATCGTCTGCCTTTCGAGCAACGACTTCCATTGTTAGGGCGGAGACATGAGCGTCTCGTCATTGTTTTACGCTGCTGCTACTCTGTTAATGATTTATGCATAGTCACTTTAACTCTACCCACATGTACATATTACTTCAACTACCTCAACTAGCCGGTGCCCCCGCACATTGACTCTGCACCGGTACCCCCCTGTATATATAGCCTCCCTACTGTTATTTTATTTTACTTCTGCTCTTTTTTTCTCAACACTTTTTTGTTGTTGTTTTATTTAACCTTTTTATTAAAAATAAATGCACTGTTGGTTAAGGGCTGTAAGTAAGCATTTCACTGTAATGTCTGCACCTGTTGTATTCGGCGCATGTGGCCAATAAAATTTTATTTGATTATATACAGATCTCTGGTCACGCACACCAGTGGTGGGTTTGGCATCGAAAAATGGAAAAGTACAACAAATAAAGGCCAAATCCCGAGTTATCCCTTTAAGGTCAACGGCATCATGACCTTTTCCAAGTACCACGACATTTTAGCCAAAAACCTGATTGCTTCTGCCAGGATGCAAGACAATAACCCCAAGCAAACATCAAAATCCTCAAAGAAATGGTTAATTGACATTTTGCAATGGACATTTCAGTTGCCGGACTTGAATCCCATTGAAAACCTGTGGTTTGAATTGAAGAGGGCAATCCATAAGAGCAGACACAGGATATTAAGGATCTGAAAATATTCTGTATGGAGGAATGGTCTAAGATCCCTTCCAACGTGTTCTCCAAAGTCATAAAACATTTTAGGAAAAAAATGGCATTATCCTCGGGAGGTTGATGGTGCTAGAGTATTTAAGATGGGTGCCCATATCTTTTTTATACTTTTTTTATTATTACTTGTTAAACAAAATCTCTTTCTCTTAGCAATTGTATTAGTATAAAATAATTTGAGCATACAATATAGCTCAGTATTTGTATTATTTATTTTATACAGTATTTTTTGCTAATCTTTATCAAGGGTGCCAATAATTATGGACCTGACTGTACCTGTGCTTTACACTGTGCAACAGGGAAGTGAGAATGTTGTGTCGCAGTCCCATAAAGTTTGAACAATGGTTTGCTTTGTGGTCCTTTGCTTGGGAAATTTATTTTGCCTTGGCTCCCTGACAGTGTTCATATAGTATAAATAAAGCTCCTATCACTTTGTCACATATTTGGTCCTATCTTGAACACTAAATATACATACTAGCCACACCTACAGTGTAATGGATAGGGCAATAAATATTTGCTTGACTATGTTGAAGTGTGCCAACCTCGTCCCACCTTTCAGCTCAAAGGAGTCTGCAGCTAAAACAATGATCGCTTTTATTCTGTGATCTCAATGGACCAGGGCACTTTATTTGCTTAGCATCTGTCCTCACACTGGGCACCCCTGCATTGTTCACATTTCTACCCCGATCCCTCACATAGTTGGATTTGTAATGGAACTTGAGGCTACTCTACAGTGGAATGCAAGAAGAACCCCTCGTTGCAATGGAGCATCATGTGTTGGGGGGTGATGTGACATAAAGGCCACACAATAATGATCACCGAAAGGCATGTGGAGATTTGAGACGTTTCTTGTTTTCTATTCACAGGAACCAAGGCATCTCCAGTTTATTGCTGAGTTCAGTGACAGCGACGTCTACATGTTACTATCGGCGAGAAAGATACACGGAGCGCCTACGGACTATGGCTTCTGTGTCAAGGTAGTTTTGCTTTTTCTATCTATAAACCTATACTTTGGTGTTTTACAATGTTGTTATTCAATTCAATAGAACTTTATTTATCCCATCAGGGGCAATTAAGAAAGGCAAGTCAGTTCCGAGTTATGTTTGGTAAACTCATGCTTTCTCTTCATGATGATCCTCCACTCCAGTCTACTAAGTGTGGCTCTCCCCGAGACCTCAAGCTGTTGTGTGCAGATGATGAGCAGACCAGAACCTGCTGGGTCACTGCCATGCGCCTCTTTAAGGTACAGTCACCATGCTGCCCCCTTATCACATCCTCTGTCTGTTTGCATCCCAAATTACACCCTATTCCCTATATAGTACACTACTTTTGATCAGGACCCATAGGGGTCTGGTCAAAAGTAGTGCACTATGTAGGGAATAGGGTGCCATTTGGGATGCAACCTATGTCAAGTGTCTACAGATCTACAAAGTCAGCACAACACTAGTAGTATGGTCTCTCCTAACACCCAACTGGCTACTTACTGTATGCCATCCATCTATGCCTCATCATGTCTGATCAGTGCATACTGAACAACGTTATCACTTACTGTTTTGTGTTGCAGTATGGGTTGCAGCTGTACCAAAACTTCATTCAACCACACCAGAAACAGAAAGCTTCACCTATGGTAAGTGGTGTGTAAATACCAATGTGCCGATACACTGTTTAACAGCACATTACCCAGGACACACAGTCTAGTATTCATACTGGACTGATTTTCCAGAATAGTCTAAAATGAGAGTATTTCCCCCTCAAATTTAAATTCCAGTATTCTGTATGAGTAAACACATGTTCTATTTTGGGCACTGGAACATGTTCGAGGAGCCTGGCTCCTCTAAAAATAACCAGAGATCAGCTGCTCTCAGACTTAACACCTCGTCACCTCTACTTTGCTGTCAGAGGAACGCACAGTGTCCAGGCATGGGTCTGGGACCCTGATCTCAGCCCTGCAAAGGGAAGGGCTAGGATGCATCTGAAATGGCACCCTATTCCCTATGTAGTGCACTTCTGGTCAAAAGTGGTCAAAAGTAGTGCACTATATAGGGAATAGGGTGCCATTTGGGACGCACACCTAGACTAACCCTGCTTCTGGGAACATGCTTGGGGAGTTAGGTTAGGGTACAGGATATAGAGAGGGGTCATGGCGCTGCTGAATCTCCTTTACCCTGCCATACAGCCGCTACAGCCTAGAGCTATCCAAACTCAACTGGCGGACCGCGGTCCGGGTCTGGACCCAGAAAAGGGTCAATACGGACCGGACAACATCGCATTTTGTTATATAAAAGTAAAGAAATTATTTTTAGACAGCTTCAAAAAAATCTACTGGGCGCAGCGGCCTCTAACTCAGCAACCTCTCTTTCTCTCTCTCTCTGGAAGCAAAACCCACCTCAACTAGTGCCCTCCCTGTCTAATCGAATTGTGTGGTTATATGCAAATACAAGAGGCTGCACTTACCCAATCACATCAATCCAAATATCCTCTGCGGAACCTTGGGACAAGCAGGCAGAAAGAAACAGAAAGATTTGACCTCGGTTCAACTGTTAATATCACAGATAGAAGGAGCTTAGTTATCAGTATATTTGTTAATATGGCCTGTAAAAAAAAAAAGGAAAAGCTGATCTATTCAAAGACAAGTGGACGGAACAGTATCTATTCATTCTCCCCGCAACTAGCACAAAACCAATGTGCCTGATATGCAGCGAGTCCGTAGCCCTTGTGAAAAGTGCCAATGTTAAGCATCATTATGACACCAGGCATAGTAATTTCGATCAGACGTATCCCCTGAACACGGAGGTGAGAACAAACAATATTAACCAACTAAAATCCCAATATGAGAGGTCCACCAAAGTCCTTGTCAATTCCCTGACAGCCCAACAACCTGCAATGGAGTGCACTGAGGATAGCTTGGGTTTTGGTAAAACACAAAAAACAAAAACATTTTCAGATGCTGAGATGGTAAAAGCATGCATGTGTGAAGTTGCTGACATCTTGCTTGAAGGTAAACAAAAAGATGAGCTTAGGGAAAAGATCGAACAGATCCCACTGTCGGATTCCACAGCAATGAAGAGAAATTAAATATTAGCTGAAGATTTAACTTCACAACTTGATGAGGCCATTCAGAATGCACCATGCATTTCATTAGCTGTGGATGAATCAACAGATAACACTGATAATTCCCAGCTTCTGGTGTTTGTGAGATTTTATAACGGAAAAAAAAGAAGGAATTCTGTGAGGAGCTGTTGGGCTTAACAAATCTAGAAGCACACACACAGGGAGAGGATATCCTTTAGGCCATCAAAGGGAAACCGACAAAAAGGGGGATAGAGCTGAAGTCAGTGGTCTCCATCCTCACAGATGGCGCTCCAGCCATGATAGGAAGAGGGAGGGGACTGGTTGCACGTTTGAAAAAGGACCACCCTGACCTGACATCATACCACTGCATCATCCATCAATCTGTCCTATGTGCCAGTCTGGGAAAATAGTATTCTGAAGTCATGACAACGATGATGAAACATCATCCCTACAACACCGCCTGCTATGAGGCATTCTGACAGAGGCCAATGCCAGTGTTGATGACTTGCTACAGCACAACAATATCAGATGGCTCAGCAAAGTGTCACGATCGTCAAATGGAACAGACCAAGGCGCAGCGTGATGAACAAACATACTTTAATTAGTTAAAGTTTAAACACAATACAAAACAAGAAACGACTCGTGACGTCCAACGGTATCAATGACCGAACACGGAACAAAAACCCACAAACCCAAAGGGAAAAACATACAGTTTAAATATGGCTCCCAATCAGAGACAACCAGCCAACAGCTGACACTCGTTGCCTCTGATTGGGAGTCACTCAGGCAAAAATAGAATAGACACAACAGAATTACCAACATAGAAATACACACATAGAATGAACACACCCTGGCTCAACATAATGAGTCCCAGAGCCAGGGTGTGACAGTACCCCCCCTAAAGGCGCGGACTGCGACCGCGCCTCAACTAAACAAAACAGGGGAGGGCTGGGCGGGCATACCTCCTCGGCGGCGGTTCTGGCTCCGGCCTTGACCACCACCCTCCAATACACCCCCCATAGCGCCCCTGGTCCAGTCTGGCCCCGCCGGCTGGAGCCGAACTGGACTTAGCAGGAGCGGTTAGCTTCAGCTCCATAGTGGAGCAGTTGACCGGTACCTTACCAGGCACCGGTGACCCAGGCACGGGTTGTGCTGGACTGACGACGCGCACCCCTGGCTTGGTGCGTGGAGGAGGAACGGGCCTTACCAGGCTGACGACGCGCACCCCTGGCTTGGTGCGTGGAGGAGGGACGGGCCTTACCAGGCTGACGACTCGCACCGTATACTTGGTGCGAGTGGCAGGAACAGGCCGGGCCGGGCTGGCGACGTGCACCGTATACTTGGTGCGAGTGGCAGGAACAGGCCGGGCCGGGCTGGCGACGCGCACCGTAGTCTTGGTGCGAGTGGCAGGAACAGGCCGGGCCGGGCTGGCGACGCGCACCGTAGACTTGGTGCGAGTTGCAGGAACAGGCCGGGCCGGGCTGGCGACGCGCACCGTATACTTGGTGCGAGTGGCAGGAACAGGCCGGGCCGGGCTGGCGACGCGCACCGTAGACTTGGTGCGTGGAGCAGGGACAGGCCGGACTGGGCTGGCAACGCACACCGTAGGCTTGGTGCGTGGAGCAGGGACAGGCCGGACCGGGCTGGCGACGCACACCGTAGACTTGGTGCGTGGAGCAGGGACAGGCCGGACTGGGCTGGCGACGCACACCGTAGGCTTGGTGCGTGGAGCAGGGACAGGCCGGACCGGGCTGGCGACGCACACCGTAGGCTTGGTGCGTGGAGCAGGGACTGGCCGGACTGGGCTGGCGACGCACACCGTAGGCTTGGTGCGTGGAGCAGGGACAGGCCGAACCGGGCTGTGGAGACGGATAGGAGCCCTGGAGTGAAGAGCGGCCACAACCCGTCCTGGCTGAATGCCTACCCTCACACACTCTGTGTGAGGCATCCGCACAGGACGTACAGGGCGGTGTATCCGTAACCTGGTGGCCTCCAGAATCCGCCCCTCTTTTGCCTCCGTCAGCCCCGTCGTCCATGCCGTGTGCCCCCCCCTAAAAATTCTGGGGTTGCCTCTCGACCGCCCGACGACGACCCTGATCACGCCGTTGCTCCTCTCTACGGCGCGCCTCCACCGTCTCTTCTCCCGGCGCTTCCTCCCATGTCCAGCCCAAGAGCTGCCCCTGGACACGCTGCTTGGTCGTTGCATGGTGGGTTTTTCTGTCACGATCGTCATATGGAACAGACCAAGGCGCAGCGTGATGAACAAACATACTTTAATTAGTTAAAGTTTAAACACAATACAAAACAAGAAACGACTCGTGACGTCCAACGGTATCAATGACCGAACACGGAACAAAAACCCACAAACCCAAAGGGAAAAACATACAGTTTAAATATGGCTCCCAATCAGAGACAACCAGCCAACAGCTGACACTCGTTGCCTCTGATTGGGAGTCACTCAGGCAAACATAGAATAAACACAACAGAATTACCAACATAGAAATACACACATAGAATGAACACACCCTGGCTCAACATAATGAGTCCCAGAGCCAGGGTGTGACACAAAGGCAGGGTTTTGGAACGCTTTTGGGCCATTTGGGAGGAAATCAAAGCATTCTTATCAGAGCAAAAGAGTGACAAGGCAACTCATTTTTCTTTTTTTCTTTTTTCTTTTTTTTTGGAAGATGAGAAGAAGATGGAAACAGTTGCATTTTTGAAAGACATTACAGTGGGGGAAAAAAGTATTTAGTCAGCCACCAATTGTGCAAGTTCTCCCACTTAAAAAGATGAGAGAGGCCTGTAATCACATTGTAGGATTTTTAATGAATTTATTTGCAAATTATGGTGGAAAATAAGTATTTGGTCAATAACAAAAGTTTCTCAATACTTTGTTATATACCCTTTGTTGGCAATGACACAGGTCAAACGTTTTCTGTAAGTCTTCACAAGGTTTTCACACACTGTTGCTGGTATTTTGGCCCATTCCTCCATGCAGATCTCCTCTAGAGCAGTGATGTTTTGTGGCTGTCGCTGGGCAACACGGACTTTCAACTCCCTCCAAAGATTTTCTATGGGGTTGAGATCTGGAGACTGGCTAGGCCACTCCAGGACCTTGAAATGCTTCTTACGAAGCCACTCCTTCGTTGCCGGGGCGGTGTGTTTGGGATCATTGTCATGCTGAAAGACCCAGCCACGTTTCATCTTCAATGCCCTTGCTGATGGAAGGAGGTTTTCACTCAAAATCTCACGATACATGGCCCCATTCATTCTTTCCTTTACACGGATCAGTCGTCCTGGTCCCTTTGCAGAAAAACAGCCCCAAAGCATGATGTTTCCACCCCCATGCTTCACAGTAGGTATGGTGTTCTTTGGATGCAACTCAGCATTCTTTGTTCTCCAAACACGACGAGTTTAGTTTTTACCAAAAAGTTCTATTTTGGTTTCATCTGACCATATGACATTCTCCCAATCCTCTTCTGGATCATCCAAATGCACTCTAGCAAACTTCAGATGGGCCTGGACATGTACTGGCTTAAGCAGGGGGACACGTCTGGCACTGCAGGATTTGAGTCCCTGGCGGTGTAGTGTGTTACTGATGGTAGGCTTTGTTACTTTGGTCCCAGCTCTCTGCAGGTCATTCACTAGGTCCCCCCGTGTGGTTCTGGGATTTTTGCTCACCGTTCTTGTGATCATTTTGACCCCACGGGGTGAGATCTTGCGTGGAGCCCCAGATCGAGGGAGATTATCAGTGGTCTTGTATGTCTTCCATTTCCTAATAATTGTTCCCACAGTTGATTTCTTCAAACCAAGCTGCTTACCTATTGCAGATTCAGTCTTCCCAGCCTGGTGCAGGTCTACAATTTTGTTTCTGGTGTCCTTTGACAGCACTTTGGTCTTGGCCATAGTGGAGTTTGGAGTATGACTGTTTGAGGTTGTGGACAGGTGTCTTTTATACTGATAACATGTTCAAACAGGTGCCATTAATACAGGTAACGAGTGGAGGACAGAGGAGCCTCTTAAAGAAGAAGTTACAGGTCTGTGAGAGCCAGAAATCTTGCAGGTTTGTAGGTGACCAAATACTTATTTTCCACCATAATTTGCAAATAAATTCATTAAAAATCCTACAACGTGATTTTCTGGAATTATTTTTCTCATTTTGTCTGTCATAGTTGACGTGTACCTATGATGAAAATTACAGGCCTCTCTCATCTTTTTAAGTGGGAGAACTTGCACAATTGGTGGCTGACTAAATCCTTTTTTCCCCCACTGTACATTACACCTTAATCAACTGAATATTAAGCTGCAGGGACAGGACAACACAGTGTGTGATATGATAAAAGCAATCTCAATCACACTCCACATTGCCCTTTCCCACCTGGACAATAGGAACACCTACGTGAGAATGCTGTTCATTGACTACAGCTCAGCGTTCAACATAGTGCCCACAAAGCTCATCACTAAGCAAACAACCCTGGGACTAAACACCTCCCTCTGCAACTGGATCCTGGACTTCCTGACGGGCCGCCCCCTGGTGGTAAGGGTAGGCAACAACATATCTGCCATGCTGATCCTCAACACGGGGGCCCCTCCGGAGTGTGTGCTTAGTCCCCTCCTGTACTCCCTGTTCACCCACGACTGCTTGGCCAAGCACAACTCCAACACCATCATTAAGTTTTCTGACGACACAACAGTGGTAGGCCTGATCACCGACAACGATGAGACAGCCTATAGGGAGGAGGTCAGAGACCTGGCAATGTGGTGCCAGGACAACAACAAGATCTGGCATGGGTCCCCAGATCCTCAGAAAGTTCTACAGCTGCACCATCGAGAGAATCCTGACCGGTTGCATCACCGCTTGCATGGCAACTGCTCGGCATCCGACCGTAAGGCGCTACAGTGGGTAGTGCTTTGGGTACAACATTGGGGCCAAGCTTCATGCCATCCAAGACCTACACTACCAGTCAAAAGTTTGGACATACCTACTCATTCAAGGGTTTTTCTTTATTTGTACTATTTTGTACATTGTAGAATAATAGTGAAGACATCAAAACAATGAAACACATATGGAATCATGTAGTAACCAAAAAAGTGTTAAACAAATCAAAATATATTTTATATTTGAGATTCTTCAAATAGCCACCCTTTGCCTTGATGACAGCTTTGCACACTCTTGGCATTCTCACAACCAGCTTCATGACGTAGTCACCTGAAATGTATTTCAATTAACAGGTGTGCCTTCTTAAAAGTTATTTTGTGGAATTTATTTCCTTAATGCGTTTGAGCCATCAGTTGTGTTGTGACAAAGTAGTGGGGTATACAGAAGATTGCCCTATTTGGTAAAAGACCAAGTCGATATTATGGCAAGAACAGCTCAAATAAGCAAAGAGAAACGACAGTCTGTCATTACTTTAAGACATGAAGGTCAGTCAATACGGAAAATGTCAAGAACTTTGAAAGTTTCTTCAAGTACAGTCACAAAAACCATCAAGCGCTATGATGAAACTGGCTCTCATGAGGGCCGCCACAGGAATGGAAGACCCAGAGTTACCTTTGCTGCAGAGGAGAAGTTCATTAGAGTTACCAGCCTCAGAAATTGAAGCCCAAATAAATGCTTCACAGAGTTCAAGTTACAGACACATCTCAACATCAGGGGACTGTGTGAATCAGGCCTTCATGGTTGAATTGCTGCAAAGAAACCACTACTAAAGGACACCAATAATAAGAAGAGACTTGCTTGAATCAAGAAACACAAGCAATGGACATTAGACCGGTGGAAATTCGTCCTTTGGTCTGGAGTCCAAATTTGAGATTTTTGGTTCCAACCGGCATGTCTTTGTGAGACGCGGTGTGGGTGAACGGATTATCTCCGCATGTGTAGTTTCCACCGTAAAGCATGGAGGAGGAGGTGTTATGGTGTGGGGGTGCTTTGCTGGTGACACTGTCTGTGATTTATTTAGAATTCAAGGCACACTTAACCAGCATGGCTACCACAGCATTCTGCAGCGATACGCCATCCCAACTGGTTTGGGCTTAGTGGGACTATCATTTGTTTTTCAACAGGACAATGACCCAACACACCTCCAGGCTGTGTAAGTGCTATTTTACAAGAAGGAGAGTGATGGAGTGCTGCATCAGATGACCTGGCCTCCACAATCCGCCGACCAATTGAGATGGTTTGGGATGAGTCGGACAGCAGAGGGAAGGAAAAGCAGCCAACAAGCACTCCGCATATGTGGGAACTCCTTCAAGACTGTTGGAAAAGCATTCCAGGTGAAGCTTGTTGAGAGAATGCCAAGAGTGTGCAAAGCCGTCATCAAGGCAAAGGGTGGCTATTTGATAACATATATTTTGATTTGTTTAACACGTTCTTTGGTTACTACATGATTCCATATGTGTTATTTCATCGTTTTGATGTCTTCACTATTATTCTACAATGTAGAAAATAGTAAAAATAAAGAAAAACCCTTGAATGAGTAGGTGTGTCCAAACTTTTGACTGGTACTGTATAAAATTGTCAAAGACTCCAGTCACCCAAGTCATAGACTGTTCTCTCTGCTACCTCACCGCAAGTAGTACCGGAGTGCCAAGTATAGGTCCAAAAGGCTCCTTAACAGCTTCTACCCCAAAGCCGTAAGACTGTTGAACATTTAATGAAATGGCCACCCGGACTATTTACATTGACAACCCCCCCCCCCCTTTGTTTTTACACTGCTGCTACTCACTGTTTATTATCTATGCATAGTCACTTTACCCCTACCTACATCTACAAATTACCTCAACTAACCTGTACCCCTGCACATTGACTCGGCACCGGTACCCCTGTATATAGCCTTGTTATTGTTATTTTAGTGTGCTCGTTTTTTTTTTTTTACTTTAGTTTATTTAGTAAATCTTTTCTTAACTCTATTTCTTGAACTGCATTGTTGGTTAAGGGCGTGTAAGCATTTCACAGTAAGGTCTACACCTGTTGTTGTATTCGGCGCATGTGACAAATACAATTTGATTTGATTTGATTGTGATCCTGTCACATTCTGTGGGAAAATGGTGCCTGTAGCTGTTGTCCCTGTTCTCAAGAAACTGGCACTAGACATCCTGACCATGTTTGGCTCCACATACAGCTGTGAATCAGCCTTCTCCACAATGAACTTTATTCAAAACAAATACCGCACCAGGCTCACCAATGAACACCTGCACCAATGTAAAGGACGATATCCATCCGGACCTTTGCCACCTGGGAAATGTGTGTCACTGGACCTTCTCAAATAGTAGTAGAGTACCCCTGGCCTAAACCACAGCACGCCGCTAGACTAGACCGCTGGACAAAGAATTAGATCTTTGAAACATGTCAAGGAAAGGAGCAATCAGTTTGTTTGTCCGGGAGCCCCAGAATTATATTTACATCGTCTGAATGGACTGGGGAAGAGAGTCTAAGAAGGATTAGAATGTTTCTATCCGAAAGTAAACACTAGTCACTTTGTTACAACTGCCTTTAAGGGTCCTGAGGTTAGGGGTGATAGAGGGTCAAATCATGCCGATTTAAAGGCTTCTCACTCACTAATCCTGATGAGAAATATTTTATTTTGTGTGTGATTATTTAGAACCAGTGACTATGACAGCTTAAGGGACTACAATCAATGCTATGTGCCCATGTGTCATTCTATTCACAACCGCTCTAATCTCCATTCACTGGAGCACATTCTGCTTAGAATCATCTAGAAATTATACTCAAGTCACACTTCTCAGACACTAGATGGCAGCACAATACCACACACGGAAAGCATGAATGTGCTTCTCCTATAACCTTTCACTCACTATCCGTACACGTTTTTCAAAAGTTGAAACCCTTTTACACTGTAAACTCATAATAATGTATACTACCTCAAACATTATGTATATTTCCAGAGAAGTATCTCAGAGAACTCCTTGGTGGCCATGGACTTCTCAGGACACAAGAGCCGGGTGATCGAGAACCCATCGGAGGCGCTGTCCGTAGCCGTGGAAGAGGGGCTCTCATGGAGGGTAGGCCATTGGTGCTCTCTCTGACATCATTTCTCTCTACTCAGCATGACACACTGATGACACACTGGTCCTGCAATAATGCATAAAGGATTATTTTACCATGACTGAATACCTGACAACAGATGCTTTATCAATGCCCAAAATGTGTATAAGATGTGAAATGATGGTGCACCCATGTGAAAATAGTCCAAGCATGTGACACTTGGAACTCCTCCTCTCCTTCCCTTCAGAGGAAAAGCTGCCACCGTCTGAGCTCCCATGGAAGCCCGTCCACCTCCCAGAGTCCCATGTCAAACATAGGTTAGTAGAAGGCCACTTTTACCATGCAGGCAGCAACTCCCAGGAATGCAGCCACAGACCTCCTGACCAGATACCCTGGGCTTAAAGGTGCTACATGTAGAATGTATCAACCATGTGGAAACTAGGTGAATTGCAACAACACCTAGGCTGTATTCCAAACAACCCCCCTCCCCTGCATCCAATTTTCCTGTAACATGGTGGAGAGGTTAGTGCAATCATGGATCCTTGGGATGTCCCTATCCTAAACCCTAACCTTAACCCCTAACCCTTACCTAACCCTAATGATTTTAAATGTCAACTTCAATGGAGACAATTTTGGACAGCCCCTCCCTGTTTCTGCACACTTAGAAAAAAGGGTTCCAAAAGGGTTCTTCGGCTGTCCCCACAGGATAACCCTTTTTGGGTCCAGGTAGAAACCTTTTTGGGTCCAGGTAGAACTCTTTTGGGTTTCATGAAGAACCCTCTGTGTAAAGGGTTCTACCTGGAACCAAAAAGGGGTCTTCAAAGGGTTCTTCTATGGGGACAGCTGAATAACCCTTTTAGGTTTTAGATAGCACCTTTTTTTCTAAGAGTGTGTATGTTTTCCTCCGTTTGGTGCCTAATGAAAATCACCATGGTCGTCCTGTGTGTTTTGCAGCCCTCCATATGGCCCAGCCCTGGTTCCACAGCAAACTGTCCAGAGATGAGGCACACCGCTTAATCACTCAGCAAGGTCTGATTGATGGGTGAGCAGCATCAGACACTTTTCTGTGTGTTTTGTCGCAAAGAAAGCTAAATATACTGAACAAAAATATAAACGCAACATGCAACAATTTCAAAGATTTTACTGAGTTACAGTTCATGTAAGGAAATCAGTCAATTTAAATAAATTCATTAGGGCCTAATCTATGGATTTCACATGAGTGGGATACAGATATGCATCTGTTAGTCACAGATACATTTTTAAAAAAGTATGGGCGTGGATCAGAAAACCAGTCAGTATCTGGTGTGACCACCATTTGCCTCATGCAGCGTGACACATCTCCTTCGCATAGAGTTGATCAGGCTGTTGATTGTGGCCTGTGGAATGTTGTCCCACTCCTCTTAAATGGCTGTGTGAAGTTGCTGGATATTGGCGGGAACTGGAACACGCTGTTGTACATGTCGATCCAGAGCATCCCAAACAAGCTCAATGGGTGACATGTCTGGTGAGTATGCAGGCCATGGATGAACTGGGACATTTTCAGCTTCCAGGAATTGTGTACAGATCCTTGTGACATGGGGCTGTGCATTATCATGCTGAAACATGAGGTGATGGCGGCGGATGAATGGCACGACAATGGGCCTCAGGATCTCGTCACGGTATCTCTGTGCATTCAAATTGCCATCGATAAAATACAATTGTGTCCGTAGCCCATACCATAACCCCACCGCAACCATGGGGCATTCTGTTTACAACGTTGACATCAGCAAACTGCTCGCCCACACGACGCCATACATGTGGTCTGCGGTTGTGAGGCCAGTTGGAAGTACTGCCAAATTCTCTAAAACCACATTGGAGGCAGCTTATGGTAGAGAAATGTACATTACATTTTCTGGCAACAGCTCTGGTGGACATTCCTGCAGTCAGCATGCCAATTTCACGCTCCCTCAAAACTTGAGACATCTGTGGCATTGTGTTGTGTGACAAAACTGCACATTTTAGAGTGGCCTTTTGTTGTCCCCAGAATAAGGTGCACCTGTGTAATGATCATGCTGTTTAATCAGCTTCTTGATATGACACACCTGTCAGGTGGATGGATTGTCTTGGCAAAGGAGAAATGCTCACTGACAGGAATGTAAACAAATTTGTTCATAACATTTGAGAGAAATAAGCTTTTTGTGCGTATGGAACATTTCGGGGATCTTTTATTTCAGCTCATGAAACATGGGACCAACACTTTACATTTTTCGTTTATTTATTTTTTCCGTGTATTTTTTGTATTTTCCTCCCTATACTTTTTTCTTCAAACGGACAGAAGAAACTGATATATTTTTATTTGTTTTCAGAGTATTTCTTCTAAGGGACAGCCAAAGCAACCCCAAGACATTTGTACTGTCACTCTGCCACACACAGAGAATCAAACACTTTCAGATCTTACCGGTGAGTATAACCCCTTGTTTTGGTATATGCACTTCTCTTATCTTTTAGACAACATGCTCAAGCTTGTGTGCTTGTGGGTGCGTGTGTGTGTGTTAGGTGGATGACGAGGGGGATCTGTTCTACAGTCTGGACGACGGTCACACCCGCTTCACTGATCTGATCCAGCTAGTGGAGTTCTACCAGCTCAACCGGGGGGTGCTGCCCTTCAAGCTCAAACACCACTGTGCCAAGATCACCCTTTGAGGGGCCAGGGGTCTCCCAGGGCCCCATACATACAGAGGCACCTTAATTACAGCCAGGGCCTCTCAGGAAAACCAACCACCCATGCATCTCTCCCTCCCTCCCTACCGTGCCTTGGACAGGAGACACAGAGATCACCGCCAGACATAAGCCAACTGAAACCACTGTTATAATCACCCACTAGAACCCATTCTCTTGGAGAAAAACGTGGTAATCGGTCTTTGTAATGACTTTGTTTTTCAATAAAAGATGAAATAGAGGTGTTACGATGTGAAATAGATGAAGATACTGTGTCACAACCCACTGGGCAAAAACTAGTTTGGAAACATTGTTTCCACGTCATTTCAACAACAAAAAAATCTGTGTGATGACGTTGAATCAACGTGGAAAATTGATTGGATTTGCAAAAAGACATCAACATAAAATAATTTCGTCATTTTTTTTCACCTAATGTTTAACCTAAATCCATTGATGTGAGTTTTTTTAGTTGAATTCCCGTTAGTTGACATTCAACCAAATGTAAATCAAAACAGAACGTTAAAATGACTTCAGTGCCCAGTGGGAAGTGACCACAGGTGTTGAGAAATCTGGTGTTGGATAAGGTGCATCTACTGTAGACTTGATATGACAGAGAGGGCTCTACTGCGAGCCCATTGGTTGGCCCTGTATGTTAGCCTGGGTGTGGAGATGAATCACAAACACCGCTGTGACTTGTGTGGAGTCCAAACTTCAGTTAATGTACTGTATATAATGTGGAGCTGATCATGTTTGCATTGTGTATCAGCTTACTTGCTCGTTACAACTTTCCATGGGATGAACATCTTCTACTGTAGCCAACTGTTGAAACTTTAGAGCGAGAGCGGATATTTGACTGTGTGTTCACAACATGTGAATAGAATGACCAGTGTGGTATAGCCATGATATTTGTGCATTATCGGCACAGTTAAGCTGAACCTGGTCATTTGTCAGTAGGAGGGGATCACTATTATCAGGCTGGAGACAATGTAGTATGTAGGCTACAGTGGTCTCCTGGGGAAACTAAGCTGTTGCTCATTGTTTTTATCACATCTCAAGGAATTCAGGTATTTTTCTAAAACAAATTATGATTAAAATATATATATATATATATATATTAGAGGTGTGAGTAGCAGAGGAGAATGCAAAGTGGTTGCATGTTTTTTTTGCTGGACTGTGACCTCTGTAGGGAGAGAGCATGCACAACAATGTGCTTCGCTAGCCTGCACTGTACATTACTTTGAAATGTATTGATTGCATTTGAATCAATAAATGTAAAACTGCTCTCTGTTGTTACAGCAAGAGCCGCAGAAGATATATTTGACTAAGGGCCGGATTCAATCCTTATTGCCGAAGTTCCCCTTTGTTGCCCGATTGACATTTAAAGGCAATGTTCCCGCGTTTGTGGAGACTGCATTCACGGCAAACGCTACATATGTCAACTCAATCGAAAATTACCTTTACATTTCAAGCACACTGCAGCTCTGAACTTCGGCGCTACGGATTGAATCCAGACCTAATTTTAGATTCAAACCACAAAGTGTAAGATAGAAATACAGTATAATATTGTGATTTTATTGATCAAAATCTGAATTGTTGTACATTGAAATGAATGTTTTATAGTATTTTTTTTAAAGATTCAGGTAAACCATGTGCAGCACCTGAAATGGTTGAATATTGATGTAAAGAACAAAACTATGACTTACATCATGTACTGTTTGTTTCTTCATTTTGGAAATGGTACTGTAATCATGCAGCAATTTGTACAGACAGGTTTCACCAGTACGATATAATGAAACAAGATGTACTGTGCTTTGAAACAAGTGAAATAACCAAGACATGTTAACAATGCATTTCATAAAATGTTTATTTTAAGATAGAAGGAGAACAGTGCATTTAAATAGTAATGCATGTCATGGACTGTAATGTTTTATAAAGGTAGCTAAATAAAGGAAGCAAAAAAATATGTATATTTGCACTGTATGATTTCAGTTATATAATTGTTACGTATTGAGAACAAGCCACAAGATAAACACAAATGTATATACATTTATGAAAAGATTGCATTTATATTGTTGTAGATGACATGCTAGTTGCACTGTAGTTGAAACACTGGTAACACTAATTTCTGATACGAGTGACCTAAAGAGACTTTGAGCGTGGTATGATCGTCGGTGCCAGTATCTCAGAAACGTCCGGCCTCCTGGGCTTTTCACCCATTTACAGAGAATGGTGCAACAATCAAAAAACATCCAATCAGTGGCAGTCCTGTGGGTGAAATCAGCTTGTTGATGAGAGATCGTGCAAGCTAACAGGCGGGCCACAAACAGGCAAATAATGGCGCAGTACAACAGTGGTGTGCAGAACGGCATCTTGGAATGCACAACTCGTCTGTTCTTGTCACAGATGGGCTATTGCAGCAGATGACCACATCGGGTTCCACTCCTATCAGCTAACACTCCTATCATCTGAAAACATGAAGAAGCGCATCCAGTGGGCATGCGATCACCAACACTGGACAATTGAGGAGTGGAAAAACATCGCCTGGTCCGACGAATCCCGGTTCCTGGTGCGTCATGCTGATGGCAGAGTCAGGATTTGTCATAAGCAGCATGAGTCCATGGCCCGGTCCTGCCTGGTGTCAACAGTGCAGGCTGGTGGTGGTGGTGTAATGGTGTGGGGAATGTTTTCCTGGCACACGTTAGGTCCCTTGATACCAATTGAGCAACGTTTCCATTCCCCGAAGAATTCAGGCTGTTCTGGAGGCAAAAGGGCGTATGAGTGTATAATTCACCAGAAGAAAACGGAGAGAGAGAAGGAGAGAGAGAGACTGCAAGTTCCTTAATGTTTTAGCTGTAGCCAATGGCTACATTAAGGATCTGGCAGTCTCTCCCTCTCTGTTTTCTTCTATTGAATTCAATATACAACCTTCTGTGTTTGTCAAAGAGCGATGCCGGGATTAGTTTATGTGGATGCGGATAGATTTCCAGCGTTGTGCTTCGTTTGACAGGGCCGCGCGTGTATGCGTATCTTTCTGCCAAGAAGTGATGAACCTTCCATCTAATGAAATAAGCGAGAGATAGGCAGGACTTTCCAGCCTTCAGTGCAGTGGCTATGTAATGTAATCCAACACCTTATAAACTCACTTGCTGGGCTGAAGAGACTGTGATTCAGAAGCTAATAAACATTGTTAAAACAATTAAAATACACAGACAGTCCCCGAATTGACCTTTAATGATATACATGGTGACTTGTGTTTAGTAAAAAGCATTGTATAAATGTCTAGTAGATGACTATTGCCTTACCTATGTGTTATAAAAGCCAATCTGACTTGTTAGGCTATATTGCAAGTAGCCTAGTGTTTAAATGGTCCCCCGAATCCTCCTTCCCTAATTAGCCTACTATAGTAGGTATGAAATATACAGCCAAAATATTAGGCCTAACTGGCTACATGATCTGTGTCAGTGTGCGTGAGTGTGCCTTTCTCTGTTTTCTTCCTACCTCGACTGCACCACTGCAGATGATGATCTGTAATTTCTTACAGACACAGACAGAGCACTCGGACCAGCAGAACCAGAACTTTTAGCAAATAAGTCGGTTAATTTCAAACATTTAGCAGCGTCGACCTCAAGAGACCTTTTTTGGTCTCTTACTTTTTTGGCACCACCCTTCCTTTTTTGACAGAGTGACCGACAGTGTCAGAGCGGGTCTCACTCTCTTTGATGATGCGTGTTTGACTTGAATGTGAATTTGTGCCACCTCAGCTCAGCCAATCAGAAAATCAGCCAAATGCTCAGTATAGACGATTATGACAACAGAGACATAGCGCGCAAAAAACAGGCTCATGGGCCGCCGGCCATGTCCATTATTATTATTATTATTATTATTTAATTTTTTGTCAATTTCGACCAGCCCACCCTTATATAAGATTTGCCAGTATTGCCAGATGGCCAATCCGCCCATGCTCGAAGTCTATGGTAACAGTATGCTAGTAGATACCATAGACTTCCAGTCATTGCTCTAACGCTAGTTAGCATTGGCTCGCAAAACTACCTATAACTTCCTTCATACTGGATGCAGACATAAAAATGAGTCATCTGACTTTGGGGAAGAAGATAAAGGGCTTCATTGCCACAATCCCGAAGTATCCCTTTAAGGACTGTTATTAATGTGAAGTTTCTAGTGCATGCATTTTGTTTTCCAGCTCATAACAAGCTCTGCTTCCATTTTATACTGACCTAAATAGCCCTAGTGTATCTGAAATGACCATGTACAGATGTAGGATCTTAATTTGAGCCAGTTTGCAAGAGCAGGAAAATAATTCTGCTGCAAGAGGAAATTTGAATTATTATGTGGATTATAATTAATCAATTTTTTTTAGGGGTTGATACATTATTCGTAAGGGAAAATCAAGTCTGATATTTCAATGTGGAAATTACAAACTTCAAGGCACTGCATCTCAGTGCTTGAGGCGTCACTACAGACCCCCTGGTTCGATTCCAGGCTGTATCACAACCGGCCATGATTGGGAGTCCCATAGGGCGGCGGACAATTGGCCCAGCGTCGTCCGGGTTTGGCCGGTGTAGGCCGTCATTGTAAATAAGAATTTGTTCTTAACTGACTTGCCTAGTTAAATAAAGGTAAAATAAAAAATACATAAAAAAACTTCAGAAGCCTTTTTGAACCTCGAATACACTACAAGTTTTAAATTTCCTGCAAAAAGTGATCCTGCAACAGGGTGATCAAATTAATATCCTACATCTGTACATATCCTTTGTATTCTATAAAGCTTTGTCTGTGTACACCATTCACCCATTGTCGTCCTTTGTCAAATTTAAGATGGCCTTCCTACCCCTGGCAGAGACATTGGAGCCGCTACGGTTGTACATGTATTAGCCACTAGATGGCAATAGATGGCTTCTCTGACTCTACTGGTGGGAGTGATTAAATCTCCATTTAAATCTATGGATCGCTCAGCGTCTGTTGCGTAGACCTATAATTGCCATGGTTTGAATAGAGCAATCAGTCATTTAATTTCACAACATTTTACTGGACCTATTAGACCTACTAATAATCCACTGGACTGTCGTTACTAAACATAGCTAGTCACATTAGAATGTGGAGATGAGGTGATGACGACCATACAGTACAGTATATCCCTAATAGATAGGTCTTACAATTATTTATCTAGTAACATTTTATTTTATTAAATGATTTAGTTTATAAAGAGTCATAGTGGTCTCTTTTACCATATGCTTGCAGTTCACATTGGAATTAGTACATGTTTGTCAACAATGAGAAATACAATCCATATTTCTCTATTGATTTGAAAAGCAATATTACAGGAAGCAATGAATGAATATGACCAAGTTAAACTTGTTTTCATTTAACATCTGCTCCTCCAGTGTTACCTGAACCGTTATCAGACTGTTGTATGTATGAATAGATTATGAATAACCTTGATAAATGGATTAGCATTCTGTACATTGCAGTCAGATGGCTGAGCGTTTTGACTTGAGGCGTTTCTTGCACATAACACGAGTAAAACAACACAGTCTCTGTAGTGAGATAAACGAATCACCCCACCACTTCATGGCCACGGCTATTTCAATGTCTCACTTTGAAACTGTGCTCAAATCCAGGGGAGATGTGCACACTGAAGTCTTAAACGCAGCCCTGCTTCTGAGGTCTTCAGCTAAATGCTCCTCTTGGATTTATTCCTGCCATTGATCCATGTCTGGCTGCAGGGCCAGGGATAAGGGAGAGATGGCAGCTGGGAGAGACTCTGCTTCCCTTAATGAATTCATCCAGCTAGACAACAGCCCAAACAGCCTGTGGATAACTTCTCCTCCCAGGCAGACTGGGGCTCACTGTCTGGGCCCACATGAGAACAAGAACAACTCCTCTTCTCTCCTCTTCTCTACTTTACCCGGCCAGAAGGAGCAGAAGGTACTGAAGGTCTGTGAGGGTAAGTTTGGACTGGGACGGAGTGGATGTGCTGTACTTTAGCTGTACTGTACATGACCCAAGAGTGTGTCAGCAGGAG